TGTTCTGTCTGTTAAAACTGGCAAAAATGCCAACAGAAGATGCAAAAGGTTTGTGATGTATCATAAAAGTCATGTTGTAAAAGTATATTTTACTGTTGTATGAAAGATTCTAAAGTTTACATCAGTTATCAATGTATTCATCATATGCAGGGACCTTATTAGTCGTGCATTCTTTTTGCATATTTATGCAAATGTGACACTCAAGCCGCCTTTAAATTTGCTCATTATATTTTACTTGGATTGAACTCAGGGACGTCTCATTAAACTTACTAAACAACACTATTAAAAAATGTGTGGTTGAAGTTAAAAATTTGGAAAAAAATATTTTATGTATCTTTATTCAGCAAGAATGTATGATCAAAAGTGACAGTAAAGACTCTTAGATTTGTTACAAAAAAATATATTTCTAGTAAACTTTTTATTCATCAAAGTATCCTAACAAAAAAACAACTAATCACAGTTTCCACTAAAATATTAATAAGCAGAACTGTTTTCAACATAATTCTAACAATGATAAGAAATATTTCTTGAGCAGCAAATCAGTATATTAGAATAATGGACTGAAGACTGGAGTAATGATACTTTGTCATCACAGAAATAAATTACATTTAAAACTTTATTAAAATAGGGAACGGTTTGGGTTCCTTTAAATTGTATTCATATTTCACAATATGTTTTATTGTAACCCCAAATATTTTTTTATTTGATCAAATAAATGCATGTGAGCATTAGACACTTTTCAAAAACTTAATCGTACTGACCACAAACCTTTGAACAGTAGTGTATTTATCATTTTAGTTTATCATTTTTATGTCATCATCATATTTATGCGTCTATTATCAAAAGTTTTCAAGTCTTATGATGACTTGTTTTACTTAAATATGCTTCAATTCAGGCTAAACAAAGCCTGGAAAATTTATATTCTAGCCATTTTTCTCACTTTCAATGTTGGCCTTTTAAACATAAAAAAAAAATGCCACTGCTAAAGCCAACACTGTATAATGGTGGCAGTTTCACAAAGCTGGATTTCATGATGCTGCGTGAAGCTCATTCGCTTTGTTTTGTCTCACATTCATCATACTCTTGTCTTCGGTCAAGTCAGTCAAATTTCTTTTTATCTCCTCACATCATAGTGAAAGTGCTCCCATTCACCAAATTAGTTTGCTACTCCAGATAGGAAATATGATGTGTACTGTCAGCTTTTGTGCACTGTTAATGATCAGTGTTATGTATGATAATCTTTTGTAATAGAGCAGTCAGACTGACTAAAAGACAAACAGAAGGATAGATAAAGACATGGATGGATGAATTTAAAGCAACCCTCCTGAAAAGACAAACTTATTCCAGCACGTGGGTTTAATTTAAACACAAAAAGACAGACATGCTGTGATATACTGAGCATTTGTTAATACAAGTAGCATTTGCTGATCTTTTCAGTGGGGTAATAGCTTTAACATCTTCATTAAAAACAGACCTGGCTTTAACTGTTGATTGTGATATTGGACAGTGAAGCCCTAAGGGCCATGACACCCTTTCTGTCCAAAACAAAGAAACAGATGCAGTTCTTCCAGAAGTGTCCCTGACAGCTGCACCTGCTCCGCCAACCTGCACCGCAGCCGCAGAAACTCATATGGCTGATTGTGCGTCATTGACAGAACCAGACTTGGTGTGTATGAGGACCAAGAGTGTCTGGTGTGGCCGTGGACCCATTATCCACTCACTAATTGCTAACAGTTAAGAGAAGAGATAACAGTTTTGGCCAATGAACGAAACAGCTTTACATTATTAAAAGGAATTGTGGAAAACAAGAAATCAGACAGGTGGTGGGGTGCAGCAGGTAAAACTCAAGTTGTTCTTAATAAAAAAATATTTTCCGGATAATATTTTAATTTACTTTAGTGAAATGACAATATAATAATATAATTATTTACTTATAACAATTATTTAATTTAGGTGTCTTTCCTTCACTTGTCTCACACAGAATAAATGTTTCTATATTATAGGAAGGGATATGTTTTTATTTGGTATCAAAAAGTTTATGGATATATGTTCTTTAGAATTAAACTTTATGATACCAAATAAAAGTTGACAAAGTTTTTAATCATTCACCTTAACCAAATTTCATATAATTTCTGATTAATTCTGCTTTTTGAAGTTTGGTTGGAAATCAAAAAATGAATTGTGATCATTTTGTTCTACTGACTGCACTCGTTTTTGTAGTTTTGTAAAAAAAAAAAATTAAAAAAAAAAATATTTTCCAGATAATATTTTAATTATTTGCTTTATTGAAAAGACAATATAATAGATATTTGATTTTCTAAAATACATTTTTAAGGGACTAAACAAAGAATTTAGAAACCAGTGTTATTAGCGACACCGGTGGCCGTTACGTGAACTGCAGCCAGCAACTTCCTGCGTGAATGTGCTTCAAGGCCCTGGTATACTCGTGCTGAAGTTGCTGATGAATTTAGATGATTATGTAAATATGTGCTGTGCGCTTTCCTCAAAAACAAAATAAACATGAAACAAAAAAATCACAGTTGTGAGAAAACAGAAGTTAAGAAAGCATTTGATCGTAGCTATGTGGCTCCGCGCTAGCTCTTCAATTCACCGGCATCATGTGTGCAGGTTAGGTCATTAAAATTACACTGTTATGATAGTTTGATTGTAAAGTATATTTAAGACTATAGCTTAATTCTGACTTGAATACATCAAGTTCAGTACAGAATGGCTCTTTCAGGCATTATCCTGAACATTGGATAACCATTCATTTTAGGAGGGGTGATTCTCAGGAGAGAACGTCACACCCTTTGGATTTTCACGGCAATAACATCCCGAGTCCTTCACATAAAAATCAATCTACGTGCAGGCTTTCATAGGAAGTTTTGTCACAAGCTGTTCACACATTGGCAATTAAAAAGCGATTTATACAGTACATGACAGTTCTTACAGTACATATAGCCCCTTTAATTTAGTTGTGTATATTGCTGTTAATATTTGTCTCACTCAGAATAAACATTTTTATATTTTAGGAAGGGGGTCTCTTGCAAGGGGATTGTCATATTTATGGGTTTCCTGTCAAAAATTCCTGTTCTAAGCAACATACGAATGTTGACAGTGATTCAATCATTGACAGGAGAAGAATGCACAGGTGTCAGGGGGAATGACGGATAAAATCTGACGTGATGATTTTTCCCTCTGCTCTGTGGTGCTACTGTGGTGAAAAGGTTTTGAGTTCGGAATGTCTTGTTTAAGTTTAGGGTGATTTAGGGCTATGGAGATGAGTGCTGAGGATGCTCTTTACTGCTCTGTCATATGTCAGTGCATGGAGAGAGAGACACACAACCATGGTACATTACCTCTGCCCAGCTCAACTTTCGAGATCCTGATGAGAGCCAGGGATTAACTTTGGCTCCTGACTCCAGATTCCACTGGCTCGGGGTCTGGGGGTCACTGACTGATTGGATGAGACTTGGTGTCTGCTCTTGACCGATCTCTGACATGGTACTAAAGGGTGAATTCACTAAACGTTTGGACTTCTTTAATGCATAGTATTTCAGTACAGTCTCATTCACTAACCACCCACAATCCAGTTCAGCCAGACACAAAATGCACTGAAGTTGCTTTGCACTAAATATTTTATTAATAAGTTATTGTCTTTTCAGCGCAATCACATTTGCCGTTTTTTTTTTTTTTTTTTTTTTTTTTTTGTATATTTGATTCGTTACTATCTCCAGCATACACCATTTACTATCTCCAGCATACACCAAACACCAAAGTGTTTATGAATATATGGTTGTCTTTTAGTTTTCGGAATAGTGTTTAATCTAAAATGCATAATTATACATATTTTAAGGGAAAACATCATTTGATGAAAAAGTGCATAAATATTCACAAGTATAAAGAGATAATTTTTATATGATTTTGGGCTATTCTTGACAGTGCAAAAAGAAATGTTGAGAAATATACAAATGCATATACAATATACAAAAAAATCCATACTATTGAGCCCTGGATTGTCTATATTAAGGATTTTAAAAATGTAATTAATGTATTTTTAAGATAATTTAATTATTTACAAGTATGAATGTATTGTAAATTATTGGGTTTTTTGGTTTTTGGAGCAATGAAAATGTTGACAAAGCAAGTAGAAATCTGAACTAGCAGGAAAAAAAAAATCCTTATTTTTTAAACCTTAAAAATAGCATGGGTACAAAATAGTACATAGCCTACTGTATGTTATGCATGCCATCTGCAGATTTTCATAAACCAGCAGGTCATGTCAGACGAAGTGGTGCATTAAAAACGACCTCTCTTTACATGTCTCTTTAATTAGCAGAAACCTTCCTGACTCTGAACATCTTCCCTCACTGTCTCTCAGCAGCGAGATCAGAAGAGCATGAGGTCGATGATGAATGTACGAGCGCTGCACGCTCTAATCCCTTTCCAGTCTCGCTGTCCCCACAAATACCTACACTGAAGAAGAAAGAGGCCTAGAAGAGAAAGAAAAGCACAGGAGACGGAGAAAGTGGAAACAGGCTTGTTTTCCCAGACTGTGGCGATAGACTTGTCTGCTATTGGACGGTCGGGGCAGGCCCGCCTCAGCTTATTTGTTCTCATCTGGAGCAGCCAGCCAATTAAAGAGAAGTCTGAGAGGTGCCAGCCAATAAGAGATTAGACTGTGAGTGTATCTGTGATTTCCTTAGTGGAGAGTAGTACTGTACACTGCAGATATTAATTATGGCACAAATACTGTGAGCCATTAGATCCTATATATATGCATATCATACAATTGGGAACCAAGCACCAGTTATTATTCAGAATTCTGATATAGATAATTCTTATTCAGAATTCAGATAATGATAGTAATCAGCTTGGTGCTGTCATAACTCACAAGTGTGTTTATCAAGCTTTTCACAGTGATCCTAAATTTGCAACTCATCCACCCTGCTGGTTTACGATGGCTTAACATCTGGTTTGTTGGTCTGTTGGCAGGTTTAAAAGCAACCTATAGTCTGTTTCCTGCAGGGATGCCAAGTTGGGCTTTTGTGGCGCGGTTCGATTTCCCCCCTTGAGGGTTAAAGGTTTGACATATTGCATAAATTATATTTGACTGCAGTGCTTGAAATATTGAAAATATTTTATGTTCTACCAGTGATTAAACTGTGAAGGAGGGCCACAAAACTAGAACCTTTGAGCTGTATTGACATGTATGATAGAGTGGTTTCCAATTTGCATAACAATGTATTATGTATTTTAGGGAGATGCATATTTTGAGTTTTGATATTTGGGATATGGTCATGGGCTTTGTTTGGGCTATTGCTAGTTTTGTTATGCAGACCTCTCAACCCTGATTTACTGCACAAATAAATCTGGTAAGTTATTTTTTAGTGAATCAATATATTACACAGCAAATCAAATCTGATTCTAAACCAAATTACTCTTATGAACAGGTTATTTTTAGTGAATCAAACCAAACCGATCTCACGGCAATTCGTACGAATTTTATGAGGTGGCTAATTCGTAACAAATCGTACGACCTCACTCATACGAATTAGTACGATTTTTGCTAAATCGTACATATTTTACGAGTTTTTATTTTTTAGTGAATCAAACCAACCCGATTTCACGGCAATTCGTACGAATTTTATGAGGTGGCTAATTCGTAACAAATCGTACGACCTCACTCATACGAATTAGTAAGATTTTTGCTAAATCGTACATATTTTACGAGTTTTTATTTTTAGTGAATCAAACCAACCCGATCTCACGGCAATTCGTATGAATTTTATGAGGTGGCTAATTCGTAACAATTCATACGACCTCACTCGTACGAATTAGTACGATTTTTGCTAAATCGCACATATTACGAGTTGGCCAATTCGTTTGAATTCGTACGAATGACCTACCCCTGACCCTGCCCCTAAACCTACCCATCACATGGGTTTAGACAAATCGTGCAAGTGAGGTCGTATGAATTAGTACGAATTAGCCACTTTTTAATCACTCATACAAATTCATACGAATTGGTCGCGGGATAGCGTTGATCAAATTCATGTAGCTTAAAGGGATAGTCCACCCAAAAAATAAAAAATTCTGTCATAAATTACTTGTTTCAATCCTGTATGGATTCCTGTGTTCTGCAGAACATAAAAAAAATATTTTGAAGAATGTTGTCAGTTACGCTTCCCATTGATTACCATTGAAAATAAAATGGACATCAATGGGTACAGAAACTGTTCGGTTGCCAATTTTCTTCAGAATATTTTTTTTCATGTTCCACAGAAAGAAAGAAAAATACAGGTTTGGAACGACATAAGGGTGAGTAAATAATTGTTACATAGACCTTATTCAGAACAGCGCCACGACAGGTATGAAAGCGAGGCTGTGAGGGATAGACTTGCCGTGTTTTCAAAGGCATCCGGTGTAAAAAACTGTATGAAGATCTTAGAATTTTGTCAACTGAAATTTCTTGGAAAGTTATTTTTGCAGTGTTTTGTCAACAGAACAATCTAAACAGACAGATTAAATAACAGTATACAACCCACCGAAGATATATACGTCTATCCCTCACAGCCTCGCTTTCATTTCTGTTAAAAATAGAGTATGGCACTGATGAGAATAAAGTCTATTGTCATGTTTTGGGTGAACTATACCCTTTAAATTTGTGTAGTTACAGCAAGTTGTCCACAAAAAAAAATTAGTTAAAGAAACACATTTTGTCACTATAGCTTAATAAATGACTGAAATTTGTTACCACCGTTTTTTTATTTATTTAACATATAATGACGATTATTGCATGTATTCCCTATTTTATGGTGAATATGATAAAAATAATAAACATACCAGGACAATTTAGTTTTATAAATGGCACAGCTCTGCTTATCTGTTTAGTTTTTTTTACACTTCCTATCAAACTGTAGTTAAATGACTGAGACTTGTCAGTCACGTCCCCAGGGCAGGACTCCCTCTATTCAACATATGCACTGGGAATAGTTCTATAAGGTTGCAGAGAGTCAATCCTGTTACAGATGAAAATGTAGCTCTTATTGATCCCGCAGACTTCTATTGATTTGAGTCTTTTCTTGTTTCATCTTCCCTCCTGCTTATTCTTCTTTTGCCTTTTCCTTTTTTTCCATCCTCCTGTCATTCTCTCTATTGTTTAACTCTTGTCTGCTCATTCGGTCTCTCTCTCTCTTTTTATTTTCCTGTATGGATTCCACAGTCAATTTGTTTACCGACCACTGTAACTACATCCATTAGTCTGACCCTAAGAGCTTGAGGACAGGCCTGTGACAGCCATCAGACTAATGCAGCTCTGACACAATAATTACACAATGACCTAAAGAAAGGGCCCTGCTGTCCCGTTGTATGTGCGGCAAGTAAACGTGGTTACCGCAGCGTCCGAGGTTCGGTCCAGCGCCACCCCCATAATCCACCAGCTCCAACAAAGCCACTCTGAGACACATGTGTTTGTGTGACAAAGGAGAAATTACGTTGAATGTTGATCAGTTCTTTTTGTTTTACTAACAAGATAGCTGAAATCACCTCCGTATTATTGTAGTATACTCGTCTATGGCAGACCTTATGTTTTCAAAGTTGTATTGTTTCTGATTTTTACATTTTAGTTCGGAGAATCAAGTCGAAATCAGTGATGCAAGTCTATGATAACGAAGGCCTTGTGTTTCAGTTATTTTTACCATATAAAGCGATGTTGTGACCAATACGCAAAGCAAAATTACAATAACTGACATGCATTATGTTGTCCGAGTGGTCAACACTAAAAATATCCATAAAAATGTTATATTGTTGCATTCAATTCAATGCAGCTTAAATAGCTGGGTTTACGACTAATTGTAGTAATTAATTGATACGGTTTTAACTGATGAATTTACAGATGATATTTGTTTATTTTTTAATAGTTTCTATTATTGCCCACACAAACAAGACTTTTTAATTATATATATATATATATATATATATATATATATATATGAAGAGTTCAGATGCAAAAGCCTCTAAATGCCATTTGAAATTTTCTTCTTTAATGATGATTTTTATCAAACTTGTATATTTAAGTTCAGTAATTTCACTTAAATGGCAATGATAATTACCTATTAATTGTTATTTAAGTGAAATTATTGAACTTAAATATACAAGTTTGATAAAAATCATCATTAAAGAAGAAAATTTCAAATGGCATTTAGAGGCTTTTGCATCTGAACTCTTCATATATATATATATATATATATATATATATATATATATATTTATTTTTACTTTCTTCGTTTTTCTTTGCTTTCCTTTTTTCTTTGCTTTGCTTCATTTGTTATTAATAATTTAAAAAAAAATAAGTAAAAAAAATGTTTTCAGGCATAAAGTATAAAGTAGTCTTTACAATATATATATATATATATTTACTTTGCTTTGTTTTTCTTTACTTTCCCTTTTTTCTTTGCTATTAGTTTATTAATTGATAAAAAAATAAGGAAAAAAATGTTTTCAGGCATAAAGTATAAAGTTTAAAGTAGTCTTTCTTTACAATATATATATATATATATATATATATTGTAAAGACTACTTTACACTTTATACTATGCCTATATATATATATATATATATATATATATTTTTTTTTACTTTCTTCGTTTTTCTTTGCTTTCCTTTTTTCTTTGCTTTGCTTCATTTGTTATTAATAATTAAAAAAAATAAATAAGTAAAAAAAATGTTTGTTTTCAGGCATAAAGTATAAAGTTTAAAGTAGTCTTTCTTTACAATATATATATATATATATATATATATATATATAGTAAAGACTACTTTACACTTTATACTATGCCTATATATATATATATATATATATATATATATATATATATATATATTTATTTTTACTTTCTTCGTTTTTCTTTGCTTTCCTTTTTTCTTTGCTTTGCTTCATTTGTTATTAATAATTAAAAAAAAAAATAAGTAAAAAAAATGTTTTCAGGCATAAAGTATAAAGTAGTCTTTACAATATATATATATATATATATATATATATATTTATTTACTTTGCTTTGTTTTTCTTTGCTTTCCCTTTTTTCTTTGCTATTTATTAATTGATAAAAAAATAATAAAAAAATGTTTTCAGGCATAAAGTATAAAGTTTAAAGTAGTCTTTATTTACAATAAATATTATATATATATATATATATATATATATATATACATATATATATATATATATATTGTAAAGATTACTTTACACTTTATACTTTATGCCTATATATATATATATATATATATATATATATATATTACTTTGCTTCAGTTTTCTTTGCTTTCCTTTTTTTCTTCGCTTTGCTTTTATTTGTTATTAATAATTAACAAAAATAAATGAGGAAAAAAATTGGTTTTGGTAATGGTTTCTAACCTTTTCATTCAACTTTTTATAATGCATCTTTTCCATTTTTATACAGATTTTTTCCTTACACTGCAATATCCAAACATGTCCTTTGCGGTTCCATTCTCACATGTGTGTCTTCTTGTTCTCAGATCTCAGTCTTTACCTCTGCTATGAGGTATGAGCCCCCTCTCACCACTCGCTAATGACGGACAGCTGAAGGCACACTCTCAGGGCCCCAATCAAATTTACAGCCCTCTAATTGGATTAAAGGAAGCCAGGGGGAGGGCTTTTATATCTGCGTCCTCCTTTCTCTTTTTGTCCTCTTGTTTGCGCTTTGGCTTGCGTGCAGGGGTGGCTTGTGGCGGTCTGAGTGATGGACAAAAGCAGGAGCTGTCAGCGGAGCTGGGGGTTTGAGCCGAGCCAAAGAGGGACCGACCCGTCGGTCTCTTGCAGAGGCATGGCCGCTGCAGTCAATTTTGATGGGTGACGATGTTTTGTCTGCAGGCTGAAGATCTGTCCACAGACTGGCTGAATGAGAGAACGCTGCTATCCACGGCTGACACTGGGAGCGAAAGCAAAAAGGCAGGGCAAAGAGTGAAACATCACTTAGCTCATTCCCGCACTGCCAGCGCATCCATTCTCTTGTACCACGAGTTCAATGCCAGACAAAGCATGTCACTCCTTGTTTTTCTAGTGCAAATTGCAGAACTGAAAATAGAAAAGAGCATCAACTGGGGCATAAATCATGCATTCGAAACTTTTGTGTATTAAAAACAAGATGAGGTCAGTTTTAAACGGTGAAAAAAATATATATATTCAAATGTTTGGGATCAGTGTGATTTAAAAAAAATTAAATTAATACTTTTAATTTAGCAAGGACTCATTAAATGTATCAGAAGTGACAGAAGAGACATTTCTAATGTTATAGAGTGGTGCACGTTTGACATCAGAACCCGGAAGTCCACTTCGCCACTGGTTCCTATGCGATTTTATAATGGGGTTTTTCCATTTACGAGTAAAATAAAGTCTGTGGTAAACAGAACTTGACGATACTTTGACATTTTGTTCCACAACCTAAACTGCACACATTCACACCCCAAGCTGTCTATCTAGTTTTCATTTTCAAAAATGAACAACTGCTTCAAAATTCACATTTTCGTTATGGGTGTTTTTTTTTTTTATGATTTACGTTTGTAAAACTAGATAGACAGCTTGGGGTGTGAATGTGTGCAGTTTAGGTTGTAGAACAAATTGTCAAAGTATAGTCAAATTATGTTTACCACAGGCTTTATTTTACACATAAATCAAAAATCCCCATTATTAAACCCCGATACGAAAAAATCTTGATGGAACCAGCGGCGAATAAGTGTTCTGGGTTCTGACGTCATACCTGCGAGTCTTGAAAAAGTGTATCATGGTTTCCACAAAAATATTAAGTAGAACAACTGCTTTAAACACTGATAATAATAATATATGTTTTTATAATATTTCATAATATCACTTGTTTTACTGTATTTATTTTTAATAAATAAATGCAGCCTTGGTGAGCATAAGACACTTTTCAAAAACATGTTTTAAAACCTTACCGACCCCAAAAGTGTAAATGCAATATTTGCAGAGTTCAAAGGTGCTGATGCTGAGAATCAACAACCTCTCAAAACACAAACACACGCGATCGACTGGCCGCATGGTGACTGTCTTCCTGTCAGTGCGTTGTTCTGTTTCCTTACAGATTTTATGATCAAAGTGTGCAGAAAAGGCCATCAGCACCTCTATTAAATTAGTTTGAGAGGTTACATAGAACAGCCATTGGAGACCACAGCATCAGCTCTGCTGGCGGTGCGTGTGTATGTCTGTTAGAGCATGTACACATGAATGCACACGTGAGGGCCTTGCTGTGCCTCTTCAGAGAGGTGGCAGCAAACACACTTGTCACTTTCTGCATTGTCAGCAGTGTTGCCGCCGTTCTTGACACCCATGCGTATGTTTTTTGGGCCTGTCTGTGGGAATGGGCAGGAATAGCTTCCTCTATCAGCCAGTTCACACAGGATCCTGTCACCTTCTTCATCCCTCACCTCACCGCTGCCATTCTTATCCCAGCAGGGCCGATGCCACTATATGGACACTGTCCATGCTGACCACAGGAGCAGAAACCCAGACCACTGCAAGGGCCACCATTGATAAGAGACTTCAGTCTGCTGCCTGACAGCTTAAAATGTAAGTAATTAAAAGCTTTACGCATACAGCAGTGAATAAATGTACTTTTGACAAATGCTGGACGTTGTACAATGATGCACATGTGCATAAAATAAAGATGAAGCTATTTTATTTTACATTGAGTTGCCATGTCAAATGACAAGCTGTGGAATAAATGAATAATTGACTCAAAAAATGATTAATTTATCAACCCCCTGGGGTAAACAAAAAGCTAAAAAAATTGTAAATTAAAAAAATATAATTATAATTAAATCAAAAATATACTTTATTTGTTAACCTTTAGGTCATGCGACATTAACCGACGTCAGAGAACCATAAACATGCACATTGTTAAATTATTGAAATTTTAACAATAACTTTTGGTATTGACTTTTGTAATAAGTTATTTGTTAATGACAATTCCTTATTTAGTAAGCAATTTTTTAGGTCAAAAGTTTGGGAATCCCTGTTTTACAATGTCATTGGTAACTCACCTTTTGCTTTTGCATGTTGCTTTATCCGTGCAGATAAGTGTTAGTACGGAGTATAAAACCACTGTCTCATCCAAAAATAAGAACAAGCACATTTAAAAAGTCAAAAATATATATATTTGTCTGTTTTTGTTTTGATGTGAGGTTTCCCACGGTTAGTTTTAATTGCATGTTGATTGTTGGGCGGGACATATTGAGCAGCTCCTCCTCTTTTTTTTAAATAGCCAATATCTCAACTCAGCCAGAGCCGTTGCGCTTGGTAAAGTTGCATTTTTCAGCTTATGACAGTCACAGTCTAATAGATTAGTCTACCCCCTTTTAAATTTAATATGAAACTGTTACTAAAGCAAAGCAGTGATCATAATCATGCTGAGGATGTGTAGTTTGCAAATTGTGTAACTTATGTTGGTGTTTGGCACCTGTTATCTCTTCTACTCGCAGGGATGAATCTTTCTAAATGTTTCCGTATCGCTTTAGAATATAGGATTTTGTGCAGAATTCAAATGGCTCTCATATGTTTTGTGGTCTGCTCATAAGATCCGCTAGACCAGTTCAGACTGTGTGCGTTGTGACGGTTCGCGTGAAACCAGACTTCATTCACCCCAATGGAAAGCATATTTACACTGTCTGGATCGTTCCCTATCCCCTATGTAGTGCACTATCTGCTATTCACCATAAAGAAAATAGTACTTCTGTGAACAAGTGACTGATTTGAGCCTCAGCTTCAGTGTCTATTTATAATGTAGGTGGCGGGACGCTGTAGATTCTACAGAGCATTTGATTGGACAGACAATGTGACGAGAAGCTGAAGTGTTGAGTGATGTCATCAAAATTGTTGATCCATATTGGCGGAAATGAGAGAATGCTAATATATTCTAAATGCGATTTTGTCATTGTTTTGGAGCACACTAGCTTATAGCCTTAAGCCTTAAAGGGATATTTCACTTTGAAATTAATTTTTGATATGTTTTAGCTTACCTCAAGGGCATCCAAGATGTAGCTGTCTTTGTTTCCACAGTATTTTCATTTTTGATATTTTTAGGTCAAACCGTTCTTGTCTGTCAGTCATATAACGGAGGTCTATGGGGTCCTCCTCAAAGAGCATGCACAGAGAAGTCCAAATTAAACAGGATTTAATGACTCGTAAATGGAAGTACACATTGATGGCCTAAGACACTTCCGGGGCTTTCCGGCGCTTGCGCAGACCAAAGCGTCCAAGCCTTCAGATCACTTGGACGTGGTTATGGTTACATGAGGTAAAAACAATATAAAAACTGTTCATTTTCTCACACAAACCGCTCGTTTCGTGTCTTAGGCCATCAATGTGTACTTCCATTTACGAGTCATTAAATCATGTTTAATTTGGACTTCTCTGTGCATGCTCTTTGAGGAGGACCCCATAGACCTCCATTATATGACTGACAGACAAGAACGGTTTGACCTAAAAATATCGAAATTGAAATACTGTGGAAACAAAGACACCTACATCTTGGATGCTGTTGAGGTAAGCTAAAAAATATCAAAAAATAATTTCAAAGTGAACTATCCCTTTAAACTTTCTTGGGGACTTTAAAGTGTTTCTACAGCTACAGCACATCACATAACAGCAGATATGTGCATGCGTATATCACCGTCAGTGACATATAACTGTATCAAGCAGCTCGCGCCCTCCTGATCTTCTCTGCGTGTGAACTGCTGAGCTGTCTGCAAACAGCTGAAAACAAACAGAGCGTCGGAGCAGGACTCCTGTTGATAAACACTTCAGCGGCTGCCATTCTGCCATGTAGACCCTCAGACAGACTCAAGACAACTTAATCCTGTCCCACTTATCTTCATCCCTCGCTTTCAATCTCTCTCTCCATTTAACTCCATCTCGCGCTCTCCTCAGCATACTTAGAAGAGGCGTGTGAGGCGAGAGGGGGCTGTTTGTCTTCATGAAAATCATTCTGTAAACGTCCGTGCCCCGACACCAACGCTAACATGGTTTGTCACATGACCCCTTCATGTCATAGCCTTTTGGAAATTATGTGTATTACAAACTCGTGTAAATTATCGCAATAGTAAAAGTGCTGATATTTCGCACACATGCAGTGTTTGAAATAGCATACTAACATACAGACTAGCGGTATAACGCTACATGCATTCGCCTCGAACCGTCACGGTATGGATGTCATGCTTCGGTGTCAGAAGACGAATACAGTCAGTCACAGGCGGTCCACACTCCAATCCAGAAGGGGGCATGTGCACGGTAATGCAATGCTTTTTGCTAACCGCCTCAACAGGAAAAAGAGCAGAAGACGAAGAGACTATCTTGCAAGTAGCCTATGCGCTGAGTTTCGATTCATTTTTGTGACCCGCTCCTCAAACTTCACAGAAAGGAAACCTGGATGGCAGAAAACGGCATCATTTATATTCTATATTTTACAAAAGCACAATGTTTTGTTTTAATTGAGTGTAGTGTCCGCACATAAAAATAGACCCTAGATGCCTTACTCTTATCTGTATGACCAGATAAGTGTTGTTTCCACTGTTATGAGACAAAATCATTTGGCATTGTGCCTATTTGTGTCTTGGAAGTCTCACACAGTCCAGTGATGAAATATGCGTGTCCTAGAAATGGGAAGCCGTAGTTGCCATCCTCATGGAAAGGTGAAGTAGGCTTTGATGCAGATTGCACATTTTGCCATCACATGGTCAGAATGATATTAAAAAAATGACATCATCCAGATGTGCCAATCCCTGGAGACTACAAAAGTGCAAAAACTAATCTCTGAACAGGCTTTATTTTTCATTATTCTGTTTATTTTTTACATTTATAACACACTTTTCAATTTTGTAGCTAATTGTGACCAGATACTTTTTGATTTTTTTTTTTATCAGCACTACAAAAAATATTACCTATGCAAGTGTCCATAGTGCTTAAGACACTAAAGGAGGCTGTACTGCACCAGCTAAGGGACTAACATGCCGCTAGGTGGAACAAATTGTAATTTGCACTACTGTCTATTCAAAATAATGAAAAGAAACCTAGCATTGGGGATTTGCTGCTTTTTCCTTATTTACCGAACTCCTATCGAACCATGACCCCAAAACCGAGGTACGTATATATATATATATATATATATATATATATACATATATATATATATATATTCTCATCTTGATCCAGACCCTCTTATTCGATAGCAGAGCAGGATGCCTGAGGATTAGTATTGAGCACAGAGTGGCGGCTCTGTTTTCTCTCCCGATCTCCCTCCGTCCGCAGACCCTTAAGTACCTGGGATGGTGCTGCTGGTAATAAATATGCGGAGGCTTTAGTTTAGTGTAAACACGTCCCTTGTACCAGAAGGTGTAAACCTCCTCTCGGTTCGTTTTTGGGGGAGTTTAAAAAAAAAAAGTGCACTCGACGAGGAGCCTGTCTCCACCTTGTTGCTTTACGGTGTGTTTGTTAACCTGTGACGTCCAAGTTCTCACACAAGCACCTTAACCTCCCTGTGAGTCAGGTGTTTATTTCTCTGTGTGTGAATGAACGCGAGTACGCTTAAAAGATTTTCTCATATAGATCTTCGTGATTTAGCATTAGTTCTTTTCTCTGGAGGCCATGGCGTGAGCAAAAGGCATTACAGGACATAATAGGCCTTTTAACCCCTAACTTATCTCGTGCATTACTCCACCAAAGGGTGGTGATTGGAGAAGGCCATGACCAAGAGCAATGGCCGTCCTTCCACTGGAATGTACCCTCATCCTCATTTTACCCATTAGCCCAGGAATCAGCAGTCTGGTGCCCCTCAAGTATGCTTGGGATTTGGCTAGGATTAGTGCGTTACAGTTTGTGATTCTGACTGATTCTCATGAAGCTGCTAATGGAGACAGGAGTCAACTCTTTATCAAGACGCATCTTTATATTAGTACAGTTACTGTCACCATTAACGTTCTTCTGGAATGTGTGATGTCTTTAGAGAGAACATTGACTCTGGCAAGCAACTATTACTACTGCTCATACTTATGATTATGGATTTGAACAAACCCCTAAGCATTACACTTTTTTTAGCTTGTAACTCAACCTTCACTGTTTGTGTTGTGGACATCAGTGATGGCAACAATGATGGTGCTATTACAGTTCTAAGCAATCAGACTTATATTTTTTGCCTGGCAGACAATAAAACAGGAAAAAAAAACTGAGCAAATTATTTACTAGAATATATATTGACTTAGCAACCACCCAAAACACCCTGTCAACCACATAGCAACACCCTGGCAACCATCCAGAACACCTTTCTTTTCAATTTTCTAAAAACCACTCAGAACACCTTAAAAACTGAACATCTTAGCACCCAAAACCCCCTAACAATGACAGCTCTAACAGCCATATAGCAATGTGCTTAACAACTGCATAGCAACTCCCTGTTAACCATCCAAAACAACCTTATAACTGCAAATCAGTGTGCTATAAAACACCCAGAACAACTTAAAAACTATAGCAATGCCCTGCCAACCTCCCAGAACATAGCAATGTTCAGGTTACCACCC